GCTCTGGATGAATGAAAGAATGAGACCGGTGACGCAGCCGCCTTGGGGGTCTCTACGTCACTCAACAGGTGGACTATAGTGGGATGTTGCCATATTAGGAAAGGTTTGTGCATTACTGTAACACTGTTGAGTGTAACTGGAATTGTTAAGCAACACCCAAAGAAACTTGGGATTTGTATATAAACACTAGGCTCAACTCACTATAAAAGACAATAAAATAAATTAGAGGTAAATGGTACCAACAGACACAAACAACCTGTCTGAAACCACATTATGAACCAGTATAAATACATAAATGCACGAGATGCTCATACCAAATTTGTTTTAAAAGTACCAAGTGAAAGACAACCGAAGGCCCTTTTCAGTTGTAGACGCATATATAAGTGAAGTCATCACTGTCCTCCTGCTGCTACAACTGGTGCAGGTGCTCCAAGCTGCTACAATGGGATGCAGGTAATTAGCATTTTCATTCCCAAATCATGTAGCTTAGATTTAAAAACCTGTCAGAATTCAGCAGTGACTGCTTGGGCCCATCCCATAATACTGATGCAGCTCGCATCGTTTCCAATCATCCAAAAACCCATTCAGGTTCAAACCATCAAACTTGTGACATCATTATCAAAACATTAGTCACCTGTTGCTTCTTATTTAGAATCACTTGTTTAATTTCCCCAGTCATTATAAACGAACAACTTTCCTACATTTAAGTATTCAATGATTCAGATCTTTTGCTAATATTAACAAATAATTAGATTAATAATTAAACCAAAATAAAAAAAAGTCACATAAATGAAATTAACAAATGTAGGGCAGCTTAAATATGGCAAAAACCCACCAATCACATTGATTTTGATCAATATTAAAATCACAGTAATGAAAAAAGGAGATTTATTAAACTGACAAAAGAAAAAAAAATATTGATGATTAAGTGAATTTCCAGTAACTTTGATTATAATTCTCTGATCTAACCTTGGCACAGTCTGGTGTGCGGCGATTTAGACTGAATGAATGAATACACTGAAACAATTCCACAGCACTACATTAAAAAGTCAGAAAAGCGAGGACGACTATTCCAGCCTGATTCAATTCAACTTTATTTATATAGCACCAAATCACAACAACAGTCACCTCAGGGTGCTTTATATTGTAATGTAGACCCAACAATAACAGGGTCGACCTTATTATGATGTCTTTAAATGTCATGTTTCGCCCAGCAGTGACTCTAAAGCTCAAAGACACCCAACAAAACAGTCTAAAAGCAGCATCCCGTCACCCTACTGAGGTGATAACAGTCAAATGTTAAACCACTGGATTTAGTCTAGCCTGATGCTGCAGTCACGTCATGTGATCACAGCGCTCCCTGCTAACATACAAATGAGGGGCGATAGCGACTCCAGAGCGTTTCAGGTCACCACTGCTGCTGCCAGATGACAAACAAAGCAGCTTGTAAAACAGAGGCGGCCCATGCAAAGCTGAACTTTAGCAATAAAAACAGTTGAGAAAAAAGAACAGAGTTAAACTGAGGTGAAAAGAAGGGGGGCGGATGTCTGACCTTAAACTTCACAAGTACAAAGACCACAGTGATGCTCGCCTTTAAATTTGATACAGAAAGATGACAGTTTAATGTGGCATTTTCCTTTCTAATCACTGAAATTGTAGAAAACTTGAGAACAAAAAAGTTTTAAAGAGTTTTAAAATAAAACCACCAACCTGTGACTCTCTGCGTTTTTGACTCAGCTGTTTCAGAAGTCCACTGCTTGAAAATTTCCTTCTCTTTTCACTTCCCAGCTGCTTTCATTCGTGCTTTTGAAAAGAAAGGGAAGTAGGAGGAGACTAACCACTCCTATTTAACTCCTCTCAGCCAATAAGAAGCAGGATTCACTTCCACCTGGCAGGTATGAGCTTCCCCTCCCCTGCTGATCAACAGCACTGTGTCAATGGCAGTATAAAGCAAACTGAAGGTATGTGAAACCAGCAAGGCTGTGGGTCGAACGACGAGGCAGACAAGCTAGAGGGAGGAGGGGGAGTAGGTGGAGGAGGAGGGGGGATTCCCACACTGGATTCCTGGAATCTGAGTGACTCCTGGCTGCCCACTTTCTCACAAGGTCAAGACATTAGAGGATGTGACTCATTCACATTACTCGCCGACTTCACAGAGGAGGAAAAGGAGTATGGAATGAAAAAAAAAGGAAGAGATGCATCAAAATAATAAAATGAAAAGGAGAAAGAAAAACTAACATGAGGAGAAATGTTGTTTGTGAAGAAAACGATCTGCGTCTGCATCCAGCTGTCAGTCCAAGCAGCAACACCAATAACAAATAACTAAAGCTTGAACACAAACAGCTGTCCACAGAGCAGCAGTGAGGCTGGAAAAGGCAGAAGACGCCTTTAATCTTCCTCCTTTTTCTTTTCTCCTGTAGATCTGGAGGTTTTAACACAGCAGTCTGTGGAAGCTGACTCACTTCTGCAGCCAGCCTCTGGTGGCCGTTTGAGGAACTGCAATTTCAGGTCTAGAGGATGGTTTAATGAACTTTAGATTCAGGGAGTCTGAATGAGTGAAGGCTTTGGGCTCTTCATCATCTTCCTCAACCTTCTTCTACATGGTTTTTGAATATTTTAGGGTTTTTGGTCATACTAAGGGAGACTGTTGCCATTGGTGATTGCGACGGCCTTTTTTTTTTGCAGCAGGGGTTAATTTTTTGACACACTTGGTGTATATTGGAACCATTACTGGACGACCATTTTCATTATGGATTAATCTGCAATTGTAAACCAATTTATAATCTGTTTCTTCTCTAAAGTTTAGAACAAAAAGTTAATCGAGACTTATTTTCATCTGAGCATTGATCAATAAACCAAAGATTGTCACGTTACTTTATATTTTAACTGAATTCATAACATCCTTTAAACTAATGTTTTCCAGCTTAGTTTGAAAAACGTGATTAGGAGACCTATTAGGGGGTAGAACATTACACAGAGGCCCTCTGGGATGATTACACTTCATCCTCGTGGTGTCCCTAAAGACTTCCAGCTCCATCAGTGTCACTTCCTAACAGTGGGGCTAATCCCAAACACATGACGGATGTGGGTCTGACTTTGTCTTACCTTAGAAATTCCCAACAACTCCTGCATGTACGATTCTAGAGAAATTCAAAAGGTTACAAAGCTATTTTGATTTTCACCTGCTGAGACAGAAAACAATAGAATAATAATGAGTTTAACGTGCACGCAAACTTTCATTTTCAATTCACAGCACTAACAATGAAACAAGAAGATAAGGAAGTTATTTCAGGGAAGTCTCACTTCAATAAAAGCCGTTTAAAACAATTGATCACTGTCAGTTTTCCTATTTTACCTCTAAATAAACTCCAGCCTGCAGGCGATTGAAGGCCCTCGAGTTATTCAATTATTTACCACTTTTAATTTTCTTCACCAGCTCAGAGCAGAGCCACAGATCCATTCCTCTCCAGCTTGTTCGACTTACAGTAACTCACTAAACTTTCCCAACACTGACAAACACAGCTGCTGTGAAGAAATGAAACCTCACTAATGGTATAAAACTGTAAACATGCTCACACACAAAATCACAACTGCAAAGCAACCACAACACAGAAATGATGCACAAGTTGGGTATTTAAATTGCTACTCTGTCCTCAAAACGTTGAGAAGCCCTGCTCTTGGTAAATGTGGGCTAAAAAGAAAAGCCAGGAAAAGTATTTAGTCTTTATCATTACTAACACATGCCCATGCAACTGGTGTTTGTGCTGCTGGCAAACTGGTAATTAAAAATTAACCCATTTTTATGGCTTCCCTGCAACGCTGTATTGGGTTATCAAGTTGCCTAGATACTGCTTTACATCACATTAGACGGACAAGAAGCTGGAAAGACGAAAGAGGACTAGAAGACCTGGCGGTAGAATGAGGAAGCACAGATACTTATTCAAAGAAAGAGGTCAGCAAAGGAAATGTGGGAAAGGCCGGGAGATGAAGGCTTTACACAGAAGTAGGATAAGATCTAACGTACGGCAAAAGCAAAGGAAAAGGCTTACAGTGAGCTTTACGTGAGGCTGAACGCTAAGGAAGGAGAAAAGGACTTCTACTGATTGGCTGGGCGGAGAGAATGTGCAGCAGATTAGGGTGTAGAGTTGACGAGCTGATGGGTGTAGAAAATGAATGTGAATCAGGAAGTGTAGAGAATGAGTAAGCAGGGAGTGAGGGCAGCTATGAAGAAGTCCAGATGACGTGTATGTGCAGGTGTTTGAGAGAGAGCAGAGGGCTTTTAACCAGATTGTTATACACACTCTTAAAGAGTGAGAGGGTGCCTGAAGAGGTACTGGTTTTCAAGAACAAAGTGATGTGCAGAGCTGTAGTGACTACAGAGGGATAAACCTGATGAGCCATACCATGAAGCTGTGGGAAAGAGCTGCTGAAGCTGAGCTAAGAAGAAAGGTGACGATCAGGGTAATAATTTAAAAATCAAAAACAAAATTACATCAAAGCACTTTTTAAAAACTTCCAAAACGTTGATGCAAGTCATTTCATTTAGTTTATTACTGTGACTGTTTTATGGCTGCTTGTGTCCATACGGGAACGAACACATGGCTCACCTGCAGTGAGGTTACTAAGCCTGAATCATTGCAGACTGTGTTTATAAGTCACTCCCACTCGATGTTGTAAACTTGGAAGGGTCATGCAAACAAAGAGTGACAGTCTTTGGGATCTTACCACAAAAACCACACACCTCATCGTAAACTGACGTTTTCTTCCATCCCAGCGTCGATGCAAAACATTGAAGAGTCATGAAAAAACATTGACTTGCTTGTGTTCATTTGCTTTTTGCATCACAACATATCTCTCCAACCTCTAAATGTAGACTTTTTCATCATTTAACAGTGGAAATTATGAACTTTGTGTACGACGCAGTAGATATGAGAGCAGACAGAAGAAATATCTCGTCCAGGTGAGAAAAAAAAAAGTGAAAACTTCATGCCCAAACACAAATCGTTATAGTGAAACTGCACTGTTTCTCCTGGCTAATACGAGACAATTTTGACAAGTTTTCCACAATAAAAGATTTTGTAAGACTAATGAGACACAAAATTACATAAAGACATTCTTCTTAAATCTGAATCATTTGCCAGACAAGACAAGAGATCCAAAGACAACATCATGGACCGTATGGCCATTTCTGATAAAATGCCTCTCTGATTATCAACAGCAGACCCACAGAGCAGATTTAAGTCTCTGTCTGTGCTCAGTAACACTCGATACCTTTACCTCAGCACAGACACAATCACAGAAATGTCACAGTGTGAGCAGACACACACTCCTCTTCAGATATGAAACCATCGCACAGATCAGCGTCTGTGTTGTGACTCAGCGTGTCATTAGGAAAGAGAAAAGATGACTGCCGTCTTTTATTAATCAGAAACCAGTTTAAACGCGTCACAAGACACAGACATCCTCCCAGATGAGCATCCTGTCTGATCCAGCTTCAGTTTGTCATTTATCCTGATGATCTGATCATCAATGAGCCTCCTGTCACTTCTGCTTTATTCAGATTGCTGCATTCAGGGAGGAAGAAACCTCCCTTTCCCATCGTGTTATAATATCTACAGCCTCAATAGGACTTAGCAGGGCAATTTTTCCCCACAGGGTCACACGAGAAACTGGGACTGCTGTGAAGTCTGCACCAGTACCCTGAACTCAATTCTGCTCAGTGTTGATTTTATATCTTTAAAAAAGGTTGCTCCCCACAGTCGAGTAGATGTTACACATTAAAACAACCTTTTTCATGACATTAGAAACACCATAAACAGCAGCCTGATGTTTCACTGGCTCTGGAGGAACTTTGTAGAGACTGAAAATATCCTTTTATGCAATTTATGCCGAGAAATCAAACCAAACTGACAGCGATTTCCCGCACATTTCATTTTCAGTTTTGTAATTGCGCCATATCTTGATTCGAGCTCACTGAAATATTTTACACATGTTC